AGAGTGGAGCGCCACGCGAGAATGTTTCAGGACCCAGGAAAACATCAGGATGATGTTTTCAAAGCATGCCAGGTTAACCTGTCTTTCCTCCGATGCAACGCTGTGTAGTCTTCATGACTTGACTCAACGCAGCACAACCCGACAGGACGGGACGTTGTGGACGCAGAGTCATCTAGCGGACTCAAGGCTTATCAGAGGTGCGCCAACTGTCCGTGACCGACGCGATGACTCGCGTCGTTTAGCGCCGGCGATTAATGACCACGCCGAGACGCACCATGTGGTCCGAGTAATCGCAAATCACTGTGGTCCGAGTAATCGCAAATCACTCGTAATGCGCCTTGATATTATCAGATTTGGGTCAACTACATGGGTTGCGAGGATCCTTGTGAAATGCCTGATGTTGTGTAAGCGTGGACGATGGTTTGCATAAGAATGACCGGAAATCAAATATGGTGTTGTGCGCGCAGCACCGGGTGCCCGAGCGGTCCCTGCTTGCAAACCACAGTGCGTATGGAGTCCAGCATGCCTGCCAGGACGGTTTCGTGGACGCGGAGCCCAGGGAATGTAACACGAGGCGAGCGCGCGCGTTACCGTCTGTGGCTTTAAAGGACGGCTGCTACTGATACCATGAGTGATTGGTCTGGGCATCGCGTTGTCCCCACGCGTCCGGCCCACTGGCGACTCGGAGTAATGCACTTGTATTCAGTGTGAAGTTTTGGGCTCCGTCGGTGCCGAGGCCATATGTTGGACCGGTCGTGCCGCGTGATTTTGCTCTTCGTTACAGTGATGCCAATGAGAAGTGCCCTTGATGTTGTGCCTCACAACTCGTCTCAGATGTACTTTCCGGTACATTAATTCTAAGAGTTCAGTGTAATGTCCGCGACATAGCCAGGCGCCATCCTGGCTACGTCGTACAGGCTTTAAGAGCGATCTCAAAAACTCTAGTCACTAACGCTTGGAAGTGGATGAACGGAAACTGGTGTTATTCGTCAGCAACGCTTTCAAAATGTGTGAAATTACATGCTAGTCAGTGCTCACCAATGCTGTCGAGCGGTGTGAGCCGCGATCTCCAATGTAACGAATCCGTCCGCCTACCGTCCACCCGGAGACTGTGATCCTGTCATATTCTAGTCTCGGCCGGCCCGTCGCGTGTGCGGTGTTGTGTTCTGGCGTGTGCGGTGTGTACGTGTTCGCACGTTTGACCACGCCCCCGCACGCCTCCGGCGCATGCGAGGCCTGTCGTGACCCGACCAGCGACAACCACCGGTCGGTGACCGGGCGGTGACCGCCGGCGTGGCGGCCGGTCCGGGCGGTGACCGGTCCGCGCCGGGCGGTGACCGGTCCGCGCCGGGCGGTGACCGCCGCCCGGACGTGTCGCTCCATCGCCCGCTTTGTTCGCGCGTCAAAAGGTGGCGACTCGGCCCCGGCTGGCACCGAGCGCCCCCCGCCCCGCCGCGGCCCGCTCCGCCCGGCCACCCTCCGAGCGCTGGCCGACGGTGTGAACACGTGCACAGGGCGGCGCCGCGGTAACGGTGGAGGGCGCGCTCCGTCCGCGGCTCCGGACGCCCGGCTGGCGGCGCGCTGTGTTCTGCTGTGTTAGCCGGCATACCGAGACCCCTTGCAGAGGAACGGCACCACCTGGCGTGCGCAAAAGCCCGTGAATATTTCCATGTGCTTGGTGGAATGTTGACGACCTCGAAAATACACAGACATGAAAGGCGCTTGTATGGTGCATGTGCTTTGGGAGAGCAAGTGAAAGATGCAATCTGTCGGAAATGTATCATACGGTAGGCATCCGCGGGTGTTGGATGTGTGGCATCGCCTGTTTGATCAGAATGCTCGTCCTGAAGCCACCCCCTCAACCTTGGAAAGCTCAGGTGGCGGATGCTTCTGCATGACATCACCTGCAACACTGGACGCCGCTGTGGTGCAGACTCTCCCCCGGGCTCAGTAATATTCCTCAGCTGTCGCCGGCGAGCCTCTCAATCTTCAGCCTCGCCACCAGCGGCGGCGTCGGCAGGATGCGTCCGCACCGGGCGTAATAACGTCGTAATTTTACGGCAGCGTTCTCGGCGCTTGCTGGCGCGTTACTTTCTCCGTCGGCGCCGTGACCTCGTGACCTCTGGCAGCGTCACGTAGCTGGTTTCCGGGGTCGGCGCCGCGCCGTGCGGCCTGTTGTTATTGCCCGCGTCCCGTCCGGCTCACCGGCCCACCCGGTTCAAAGACCGCCCGAGTCGCGGGGGCGGCGGGCGGTGGCGCCTGTCCGTGAGACGTCACAGGGCAGCCGGAAGGGGCATGGCGATGGGTGACGTGACGCACCAGCACGCGTCACATGGCACGTCACGGGCGGATTGGTGTCGTCCGTGACGTGACGTGAAGGCAGACGGAGGAGGTCGTCACGCGTGGCCCGTCATGCGGTCAGGCGGGAGTGGACTGATGTCTGTGACTCATCATGAGGGCAGGACTGATGTCGGCCACTCGTAAAGGCCGGCGGGGGTGGACTGATGTCAGTGACCCGTTACAAGTCAGGCGGGGTGGGATAATCTCCGTGACCCGTTAGAATTCAGGCGGGGTTGGGCTGACGTCCGGCACGCGTGATGACATCAGGGAACAGCGGGCTCCCGTTCGTCCGTCGTGTGTGATCAGCCCGGTGGGGTTGTCTGATGGCATATGTCCGCCATCAACCCGCCGGGCTCTCAGGACGGTGGTCCGGCTCTGTTGTAACGGTGACTGGTGCTGTTGTACGTTGTCGTTGTCGTACGTTGGTGACTGGTGCCGCATTGGTGCGTCGTCCCGGCGTTCGCGTCATGCCGGCCGGCGGCACGTGTGTGGAGCGGCACCCGCGTTTCGCACTTCCGCTTGTGGGGTCATAAGTCAATGAACAGATCAAATCCCAGCTGGCAATGCCTTCCAGGAAAGAGAATACGGTTTCACCTTCACGGAAACACCGTTAGTAGATTTTTTAATGCGTAGAGAAAACTTTGACTGATTAATAATCCTCCGCATTCCCCTAAGACGGCTTTATTATTTCGTTCAGCGCTCTCAGTGGGATAACGCGAACCTCACTTGTTTGCGAGGAAATGCGGGGCGTTTTCTTGATTCGGGTATCTTGATTTTTAGGTGTAATTTTTTGCTTAACTTTGCCCGACCTCACTCGCGATCATGAGCACGGTTGGAAGCCTCGAGTACTGTCAATATTCCCAATGTTTGCGCTAAAAAGGCCATTTAATGAGCACCTCCACCCTCATATGTGGAAGACGGATAACTCCACATAAGACCTCTGAATTCGTTCTTCAGATATTGAAGCTATTGATGGGAACGCACACAGTATATGTAGCGATAGTCTGTGCGTCAGTATAAATTGCCAGAATGCAACCCCCCCGCCACAAAGAGATAAGGAGAATCATGAATCGCGGTAGGTCCGAAGAAGACAGCTGTTCATCTGGCCATAGGAGCTTTAAGATCCTGTATACCAGACAAATCGTTACACTTTTCGGAATCAATGGGAATCAGTTGCATTCAGGATCCCGGACTTGGAGGCAGCGTCAAGCATTGGGATCAGGGTCAAGGGCGTGTCCCGTTCTTTTGATCCCGGGGCTGTCGATTGCACGTGCCTATTCCAGTTGTGGTGTCTCGAGGACGACCGCATAGCGCATCGGTCTCATCACCCCGCCAGCCGCCCAGTCACGTTCAGCCAGTGCCCACTGCACAATGCACACTCCCCAAACCTTGAACAGCGGCTTAGACAGATGCCGGCGCCAAATACCCACTGGTAACGGGCTCGGGCTGGATCTTCCCACGCCCGTCGATCAGGACCAGTGTGCCCCCAACGGCGCTGTTCATGGCCGATTAAAGAGGTCGCGGCGAGCCGCAAATTTAGCGCGATTAACTGGCTGTCTCATCAGGCACACGGTAGGGTCAGAGGCGCGCATCGCGAGAGGCGGCTGGCGCATGCTGCAAGCGGATTTGGCTTTGACTTATTTCTGTCGAGGGAACTCAAAATACCTGTTAACATTCAGACACGTTTGACGACTGTGGTGAGTTCGCTGATGAAGTCATCAGTAAAGCCCCACTTGCTGCACAAGACGACGTCAAACACCGAAGAAGCAACACAACTCGTATGTTATGCTGATACACAAATATGTGGTAGAAACGGAGCATACGCCCAGCGCATCGGCACACAACGCTGACAGTTCATGGCGTTTTTGGTTTGGCATGCATGACGTCACATCACACATTTCTTGGCGTTCCGTATGCGGCGGTTGAGCTTCATTGCAACCATCAACGATTCAACATGCCTAACCCTTCCATCTAGCGTAACTACAACAGAAAAGGCAAGCCTGGCCTTCATCGCTTTTTGAGCCTGATACTAACACTCATAACTTTCGTTGGCTTGCCTTCGACCAGTTCAATTATTAAAGTCAGATACGCCGTCATTCATTGCATCGTCGAATGTTCCGCAATTATTGGAGTGATGCCAAACCTTGGAACCATCTTTACCAGGGTTTAGCTCATGGTAATGATAGAAAACGGTCCAAGGCTACGTGATGAATGCACAAAATACACACATCCTAAAGCACCGAATCACTATAGCTGTGTTCGGGGGCCATTATTTCAAGACAGCATCGAAGTTGGTTAAAACTGAGCTATGTCGCAGCCATGCGTGGCGCTGGAGTGCCCGTGCTGAAATACTGAAGAGGGGCGCACGCTGGCTCGCTGGTCCGCCGGGCGCCCGAACAGTGTCTGTAGCCGCCTGGTGCGGGCGAGCGGTCCCAGCCGCGTCGCACTCCTCCAGTCCGCCGGCGGGTCGCGCGCGGCCGTCTCGGCTCGCGCGGTCTCGGCCGGACCGCTCGGGGTGTTGACGAAGTGCGTCGCCGCCTTATTTGGATACTGGTCAGCGAGGGCACGCGATTCCCAAGGTCGGCTGTGCTGCGGGCCGGGCGCCAGTGACGTCATACCCCACCAGCGACGTCGCTGCTCGGCTGACGCGAGTGGTACCCGCTGACAGGCCGGGGTCACGCGCCCGGCGCCGTTCTGACGTGCCACTTGTCCCCGCCGTTTTCCGTCCTTCGCACATTGACACATGACGCGCTCCGCCACAAAAACGCGCCATCTGCGGCGGCGGCGCGCCTGCTGGCGCCCAAGGTCGTGACCGCAGACCGGCGGTGACGTCACTGACGCAAGAGCGCCTGTAGAGGGTGGGGTCGTGGCAGGCGCTCGTCCGCCGACGCCTGGCGGCCCTCCCGCAGCAGGCGCTCCTCCAGCGCGAAAAAGCAGCACTTGGGCGAGCAGAACATGGCCTGCGCCGCGCAACGGCACTCCAGGCAGTTGTCAGAGGCCACCCCTGCCGAGAGAGGAGAGAGTCAAGACGGGGGACACACTGCGGCACTCCAGGCAGTTGTCAGAGGCCACCCCTGCCGAGAGGGGAGAGAGTCAAGACGGGTACACACTGCAGCACTACAGGCAGTTGTCAGAGGCCACCCCTGCCGAGGGGGGAGAGAGTCAAGACGGGGTACACACTACGGCACTACAGGCAGTTTTCAGAGTTCACCCCTGCCGGGGGAGGGCAGAGTCAAGACGGGGGATACACTACGGCATTATAGGCAGGTGGCAGAGGCCACCCCTGCCGAGAGGGGAAAGAGTCAAGACGGGGGACACACTGCGGCACTCCAGGCAGTTGTCAGAGGCCACCCCTGCCGAGAGGGGAGAGAGTCAAGACGGGGACACACTGCAGCACTATAGGCAGTTGTCAGAGGCCACCCCTGCCGAGAGGGGAGAGAGAGTCAAGTCGGGGACACATTACGGCACTATAGGCAGTTGTCAGAGGCCATCCCTGCCGAGAGAAGAAGAAGTCAAGACGGGGGACACACTGCGGCACTATGGGCAGCTGTCAGGGGCCACCCCCGCCGCGAGAGACAGAGTCAAGACTGGGGACATACTACGGCACTCCAGGAATTTCTGCTGACCACTCTTGCCGAGGGATACACCGCCTTGACCACTCTTGCCGAGAGCAGGATGAAGGCAATGTACATACCTAGACCGCTCATGTGGAAGAAGGACGTAGACTGCACAGACCAGAGATCTATCTTGAATCCTAATGCTACGCCCAGGAGCCACTGGCTCTCGCCATTAGCCGTTGCCCGGGGAACGGACGAAACACCGCATCATGGGGCTGTGCCGACGCAATGGCTTGTGACATTCTCTGCAGCCATGCAATGGTTTGTGAAATACTCGCATGGCACGCTTGAGCGGTAAAAATAATAGCGCCGCGCTGATACGGCAGACGAAACATCAGTTAAGCAACTTCTTGAAATGACGACCACAACGCTAAAACACAATGGTGCATTTCTCATGCCGTAGGCCAGCATGGGTTGTGTCAATCGCACCCGCGCCCAAAATGCATGATAATTGTCTGTGGTGATCCGTCATTGAGTTGTTGGAGGCAAACCAGGTCTCTAAGCGTCGTTATGGCCTGTCCGGGTATGACGTCATCAGTCATCCGTCTCAATTGATTTCGTTCTGTCTAATCGGTAAATTGGCCTGTACTGTGATCCGTCCTTAGCATCACACCATCCGTCATCTAACGTAGCTCGATCTCCTGGCGGACTGGCGCTGTCCAGGTAAGACGTCATCCGTCAACTGATCGCAACCGCAACCGCCGGCCGGTGCCGTGATCCGTCTGGGGTATGACGTCACGCGCCACCCGTGAGGTGTGGTCCGTCTGAGTAAGGTCCGAGCGTGTCACCGCCAGGCGCCCGCGGAGGTCGCCGGCGGCGAACCACAGCCGGCCACCGGAGCCGGTGGTTCCTAGCTGCAAGGGATGACTCGGCGGTGTGGAATGCCGTGACATGAGGTCGTGTTGTGTCAGCGGACCGCGCTGACATGCACTCGCACCCGGCTGACATGCACTCGCTCACAACCGTTTGCTGTAGCGCTTGATTGAATTTATCTGAATGTGCTGTGTTGTATCATCAACGGCTACAGCAGTATTTTAATGGATGTTGAGAGATGTGCTAGGCGGTTGCATAGCCATCTTTAAAGATAGTCATCAAATAAAAAAGGCAGCTAAAATGAATCGCAAAAATTAATAGCCAGCAACAATTGCTATTCTGGCTCTACCTAGAATAGCTAGTTGAGTTTGGTTTTCTATAGCGGTTAACTCCGTCGGGAAGCCACAGGAAAACGACGCCAGTGAGGTCATGAGATTGAGAATGATTTCATGCTTAAAACGCTTGTCATGCAGTATGTCCTTCGGACAGCTGTAGGCGCTTTAAGTAGACAGTGGCAGCCTGCTTACTATTTCCAACCGTGAACATTTTTCGGATTTACCCCAGAATTTCGTGATGTCCCGATTACCCGAAGTCCTGGTATTAGGTCACTTTTTGCAGATGGCAAGGGATTGTATGTTATCCGTCCAACAAGACCCGTTAATGTCGAAGCTGAACGCAATGGAAACCGGCCTAACTCTATCTACTGCAGAAAAACCTTTTAACTAATCCGCTGAGCGTTGTTCGTCAGGCCCATCGTACGGGACGAGGAACAGACCAGCGCTGTCTTCGGCTTGAATCCAAACAGCCATTTTTGGTACAATTTTTAGCCGACTGAATGGAATTGAGTACCAAGTAAATTCCGAACGCGTGGGGCTGTCCCGGTATCATGTGATGCGGCGCACGTTGTCAGTTTAGGGACTCAGTTCACAATGCTATCGACGATATATTGCATTGCACGAGGGACTCGCATATACAAGCCTCATAAACATATGCCAATGTTTTGTTATTTTTACGTTTCTACTTCAGGAACGCTTAGTTGCGCTTGCCCCCTGAAAGGAAGCTTGGCCTTCTCTGACCCCACCACCCACCACCTGGCATTCCGCCGGTCGCCAGCAGAGTCGCTGGGCCCCGCCCCTGCTGCCAGCGGCCGGCGGCCGGCCCAGACCCGCGCACAATGGTCTGTTTACAGCGCGGGGCGCGGCTGGTCCGCGCGTGGGCCGCGGCCGGCGTCAGGCTCGGGCCGGGCCGCTCCGCGCCGCGATCTCAGCTGATTGCCCGGGCGGAGGCGCCATCAAGGTTGCGCCCACGCGCCGGCCGGCCGTGCGCAGGGCAGCCGTCCTCCACCCACTCTTCAGCGCGGCGGAGCCCCGGCCGATGGCCAGCTGACTTCTGCTCCGTGTGGATGGCGGGGGTCAGAAGACAAGGGGCAGCGTGAGCCTCACCCACCTGTGGATGGTAGTGCTCGCACCCCGGCCGAGGGTCTGGGAACTGGACTATCAACTACGACGACTGAACAATGGCTATGCAGCTGCACAGCTGGCCGCTAACCCCTGCACTATGACTCCGATGAATGGTGCGATCTCCACCGTGCCCTCCCCCCGCCCCCGCTCTCCCCCCCCCCCCCCCCGAGGAGACCTGCCTGGCCGAGTCAACGGCGGTCACCAACCCCGCGCTGTGCTGCTCTGAGCCGAGGTGTCGGCCGACGGCAGACTCCTCCTCGCGCCCGTGCGGGCTCCTCCGCCGCCCCGGGGGGCGAGCCCCGGCAGCCGGTCCGGATCCATGACAGAGCGAAGGGGTCATTCCTCCGAGAAGTAGCCGCTGGCTGCCGGGAATGCAGCATGCGCCGTATATGGGCGTATCAAAGCGGTGATCGGACGGCCCGCCCAACTCTGCAGGGCTAGTTTGGACTGGAGCCGCGGCCGGGGGGCGGGCTGCGAGGGTTCAGTGCCGGGTGCCGGCGGCGGCGTTCAGCACTGCCGCCGCCAACCGGCACGCAAGCGCCTGGGTACTGCTCCTTCGATCGGCGCCATAGAATAATGCGGCGCCCTTGGCGCCAGCCGAGGGCACTAGCTCTGGCGATACGTCTTTTTAGGTCTGGGAAAGCAATGCGAGACCAAAAATAGGCACTGTTTCGTCACAAGTGCTTACCGTGAGGCACAGTTTTGGCCCAGAAACGATGTCGGCAATTGACCTCGGCCACCTCTCGCACCGTCGTACGCTCCCAGCCCTCATCTGACCCGACCTGTCCGATCGCTTCAAACGATTGGTACACACGGCTGCGCTGCTCCCACCGCATTGCGCCGCAAATTCCGCGCATTGCGTCAGGGCCCGCCGCCACCCGCGGACGCCAAAGCAGCGGGAGCTGTTTCCGGCGCATGCCCGTGACACGGCCGACGGCCGGGCCGCCCGCCCGCTGCGGGCGGGCCGATGTCGGCACCGCCGCCCGCCCGCCGTGGCCGTGTGCGCGCCGTGCACGGCTCCGCGGTGGGGCTGGCCGCGAGGGCGTGGCGGACAATGGGAGTCCGCGGCGTGGGCGTCGGCGACTTGACCACGGCGGCGCCGCGGGGGGTCGTCTGACCTCGGCCGACCGGGGCGGGGCCGACCCGACGCAGGACCCAGCCGCCGGCGGTGTCGGCAAGGGGAGGGTGAGGGAGCGCTTCGCTCCCTAGCCCTGGGAGTGCCCCCGGTACCACAGCGCAGGCCGCGTAACCCGAGCACCCGACCTTGACACCGCCGACCGCGACCGACTCCGACGCCGGTCGAGCTGCGGGCAGACCGCGACGCAGACAGATCGGCGCTGATCTGGGTCACCTACTTAACCCCTCACGGCTCGTCCACGAGCAGTCAGCGGGAACAGCAATCGCCAGTGGAGTGAATGGGGGCGCTGTTGCCCACAGCGCACTATCTGTAGTTCCTATCGCGCTGGACAGCTCCATTTATCACGGTTGAGCTCAATGGCCGATTTATTTTCGCCCATTCGTGCTGGACACGATCTCTCGTCGTGCGCATGGCATGGCGTCACGACGTCGGAGTGGTTCCATGAATAGATCTATGACGTCACAGTCATCGGCGATCTGTTCACGGAGGTCCATATCAAATCGATTGGCCGATGCATATTCAAAACGACGTTCAGGGCTACCGATTCAGGCGAGCGCTGACCTTGCCAGCCGTCCAGCGGCCGTCCCAGCGACGCCTGAATAGGACGGTCAGGGTATCTCCCGAAACGGAGGTGCCCCGACCTACTTGGCGTGACGGGCAGCACGCGCGGCGGCCTTGGAGCGTGTCGCGACCGCCTCCGCGTGCCATTTACACCCTCAGCATGGTGCGTCATCAGCGAGCTGCCGGTCCCTCCCAATGACGCATTAAAACCCAACGAAGCTGGCCCCCGCCGCCAGCCGGCGCCTCTGACTGTCGTTTGAAGACGGGTCACTGTGGGGCGCGTGCTTCTGGACTGCTAATCGGCGTCGCCGTGAGCACGGGACATCGGGTGGTGGAGGGAAGGCGCCTGCTGATGATGGGACCGCATACCGTCGTCTCATGAACGCCGCAGAGAAGTGTGGCAACACGACCGGCAGTCTACGTCGAGAGTGATGTGCCTCAGGGCAACTTGTACGCTCTGATTCATGCTCCATGAGGCTTTCCTCATCGCTAAAGAACAAAGGACGTCGGTTACTGCAATTCCAGGATCGGTTTGTTGATTGGTCGGGCTATACTTTTCAAAATCATGTTGCATGCATTGTCCATGATTCATTGGTGTTTCCTGACTAAGAAAAACAATAAGACAAACGAGGCAGCCAATTCGCAAACAATTTGCTAGGGACTCAGCATTTCCAACAAAAAGGGTGCCGAAATGCCCTTCCGGTTTGTGGAGCAGCATGACGGAACGCACAGCCTGTTTTAGGTTCCGTCCTTTCTGTGAGAGTCCAAGTCCTGTGACAGCGCCAGCCACACCGGTTTCCGGGATTTCACAACTTGAACCTGTTCCTATATCGCGTACGATGTCCTAAGGAACCGTATCGCCGTATCTCTCTCTTGTCCTGTCACCGAGCAGGCTGGACTCAGGACCCGGCCGGCCGGCGCCCGACCGGTCCACATCGGCAGGTCACGGGACCGCGGACCGTCTCCTGCAGCAGTCTGGAGCGAACCTCTCCGCTCTCCGCGGCGCACGGCTGGCTATGCTGGACGCCTCGCTCGGCCCGATGCGCCGGCCTGAAGCGGCCAGTCCCGCCCATGCATAATGCACCGCACGCGGCCGGGCCGCCGCCACAGATGGCACCGCGTCGGGGCGCCGATGTGGCGTAACAGCGACGGCGCGCCGCCGGCAACGGCATACTCAGCGCTTGCCGGTGTTCCCACACAACGCCGGAGCGCGTGACGCCCAGCTTCAGCCGACTTTCGTTGGACGGACGCCTTAATTACAGCCGGCCTGGAGTGAGGCGGGGTCAAGCTGGGGCGCAGGGTCACGCCAGGTCGAGCCCGGCGTCCGTGGCACGCCCGGGCGGCAGGTGGGATCGGACGAGCGAGCTGACACCTCGCGGAGCTCCGCTGAGAGCTTAGCATATCTTCACGACAGTTAGTGGCTGTGGCAGGCGTGATGGTGTGCTTGATAACTCCTCTGACTGGTAAGGCCCTTCAAATTGGAGTATTTGTATCGACAGCTCACCTGACCACTGTGGTCATCAACAAAATCCAGCTTACTGGTTGATGCGATGGGGCCCGAAAAAAATTGGAGCAACAAGCTGACCAGTGACGCTGTCTGCTATCGCTTTACAACTGACAGAAGATGGTGAAGAGGTCTGTACTATCTCGTCTTCTTCACTACGGACACGATTTCTTAACAGCTATCCAAGGTTGTAAAAACAGCCAGACCAGATTTCTCGTGAACAGTAATTGGGTCGAGACGACGTTGGCTTTCCCTAAGGTTAGTAAATCTAACACCCTAAGCCGTGCGAAGTAGAGAGCTTGAGTAGTCGCCGCGGTGAATCAAAATAACAAAACATCCTCTTGGCGCAGGAGCGTAGTTTTGCAACACACGTTGTGAGGTTTATCAGTGATGAATCGAACTTGTCCCCAACATATACCGGGAAACGGGTTTCTCTCCAAGTTCGGCTAAAGTTCTTCTCAAAGTTGGGGGGAGGGGGGAGGCGACTGGAGCGCCCAACTTAAGAGGAAATTGCACCCTGCACTAATGCATTGGTGGTCCTATACCACTAATTGCGGAATGCTCGATCCGTCAGCTTCGTCGCATGAAGAGAGATGAGGGACGCGTTCTCAACTTCCGCGGAATTTTGCAAATAGCATACTCGTAAAGTTTCCAAAAAGAAGCGTCTCAGTTAGATCAAGCATGTTGAAAGGTTTTCCAATGGGGTTTTCCCGACAAGGGCAGATCACATATTGCAGACCACATTTTGCAGTAATGCTCTGCAGAACTGTCACAGCCTTAAACGAAACTTGCTGCAAGTTGCAGCAAAAATCACGTAACGATCAGCTCAAGTGCCTAATAAGCTTAACGCCTCCCAGCCTTGCCCCGTATCGGGGCTGATGGTCGCACCTTTAACACGCTGACTGGTAACTGAATAGCATCATCACCGACGGCTGGTAACCTACCCCACCACCAGGGGGAGGGGCTGGAGACCTGCCCCACCTGCAGGGGGAGGGCCCATCTGCGATTCAGTCGATATGTTTGCTCGAAACGTAGTTGTTATGGCCGTTAGGAACGTAATATCTCACGCCTTGTTAGATTAGGGGCATTGGAATCAACTACAGTCGATGATTCGACCAAAAACTTTCAGCAACGGAACAAAGACTCTGCTTAATACCCTCCTCGCCATTGCCACCTGCCGGTTGTCTGCACTGCACCACCGCCTCAGCTTTCGGAGCGCGTTTCTACCACTTTTGGTCAGCTTTGTCTTTCAATGCACCGCCCGCGCCTTTACCAACCACATGAGGCGTCTAATGAGCCCATTGGTCTTGCCCACACGCCTAGCTGCACGTCACGGCAATCAGCGCTCAGGAACGGCTCAATCGACGCTACCACGCACAGGATGTTTACGGCCTGGCAGCGCGTGCTACGGCTTACAGCTGCAAGCCTGGTGTGCCGGCTGGGGCCACGTCGGGGCGCCCACCGTCCGTCGGGCATCCGCCCCGGCCGACTGTTCCCACGAACATAACCTGATTGCCTGTGGTGAAACACCCCGGCAGACACTCGGCATTAGTGCCGGCGCAATGAAAAGCGTGATCGATTGTCACGCCGCTCCAGAAAGCCAGCGCGCTCCAGCGGGCCGACCGCCGGCCACTGTCGCTTTCGTCCATTCTGCCCCGCGGGCCGAGTTTGTGACACCCGTCCGTAACCGCACGCCGTCCCAGCGCCGCCAGCTGTTGGACCGGCCGTCAGCTGAGCAGAAGCCCAGCTGACCGCGGCCCCGTCACTGGCGAGCGACCGACCGCCCGCCCGCGCAGATACGCCGCGAGGCACGGCCCCACCCTCGCGTCGGCCACCGCGACAGGCACCCGGCCGGCGCCGGCGCCCGCGGGCCGTGGCGCAACGGAGACGGTGGCGGCGCGCGCGTGCGTGCGCGCGCGTCTCTGCACGGCGTCGCGTCGTGGGCCGGCTGACCCGCTTCTTAAGGTCACGCACCGGGGCCCGGGGCCTCCCTCATTAGGTACGCGGGGCGGGGTGAGAGGAGCGAGCATGGAGATTGGGGCCGCTGTGGATAAGAACTGAAGGCAGCGGAGGGATGATAACTGGGCGGAGTCAAATGGCGACGTAATGAGCAAATGAAGGTGAGATAAGACCAGACACGCATGAGTAATTAGGGTACGTTACACGCTACCGACTCTTGAATCAAGGTGCGTGATAATGCGCATGCTGTTTGCCTACATTATGCTCAGCTAATCTGCTGAATACGACTGCTAACAAGTTGTGCTTGTTGACGCAGGAATCCAGAACACAAAGACCCGTGCAGTGTGGGCGTGACGAAGCATGACAAGCGACAAAGCCCGAACCCTCGTAAAAAGGAGCTGACTCTCAGAACAAACAGCACTGGCCAGACCAAGCCGTCCAGCGAGGATCGGACCACGGACTCCGCGGCGGCTGCGACCCTCCGGTGTACTCACCGATCACTTCTCCCAGCTCGTAGCGCACGCCCATGATGGAGCACGTCTTGGCGTGCTGCTCGACGGCGTGCTCATGTTCGTGCTCGTGCTCGTGGTGGTGGTCGTGCACGTGGTTCTCATCGCCCGGCAACAGAGAGCGCCGTCGCCGGCGCGAGCTCCACTCGGCCTCCAGCCGACGCACCGCTGCCGCGTCGAACACATCGTCGACGTCGGCGGCGCGCCGCAGTCGCCGGCCGAACTCGGGGAACATAAAGTCGGAAAGGTCGATGTCCTCCTCCAGGTCGTAGTCGAAGTTCATCAGGGGCTGCATCGCGTGGCTGACGGCGGGCGCCACCCGCGTCTTGGTCGGAGTCGGCCGGGCCTGCGGGGCGGTCGGCCGGGCCGGCCGGAGGGTCGGCCGGGTCGGCCGGGTCGGCCGGGCAGTCGGCGGCGAGGACGGGGGTGGCGGAGTGCTCGGCGCGGCGGACAGCCGGCGGGAGCCTCGCCGCCGTCCGCTGCGTGTTCTCGACGCCGCACGGGCCGGCGCGCCAGCTCCGGCGGGGGCCGCGCTCGGGACCGCATCGGGGACCGGCGCCGGCTTCGGAGAGCTGAAACGGAAGGCGCCACGCCCGCGGGCGGGCTGCGGGACGAGACCGGCCGGCTGCGGCAGCTCGCCACCGCGACCGGTCGGCATGACGAAGTTACGCGGCACCGAAAGCTCCTCGTTGAAGTAGGTGGCACCGGAGGGCGCACTGACGGCGTCGGCCGGGCCGGGCGCCGACGGCAGCTCACCCAGCGGCGGCTGGAAGTTGTCGGAGGGAACCACCAGCGGCAGCACGCGTGGCCGCGGTACGATCTTCATCGTGCGCACCGGCGAGCGGGCTCGTGAGACCAGCTGGGAGCGGGCGCCGGTAGCGCTCTGGGACCGCTCCGGACGAGAGGTCGGCGCCGCTGACTGGAGCTGGGGTCGGCGGCGCCGGCTCGGGGACGGCACAGCCTTGGTCGTGGAGCTCGGAGCGGACGCGCTGTCAGGTGACTTGGTCCGTGACCTGACCCGTGACCTGGTCCGTGACCGGGTGGCGGTTGGTGCCCGCGAGCTAGCCGGAGGCGGTGTGACCTCCGGTCGGCGCCGCCGGGTCGGAGTCAGAATGCTCGGCTCGGCTTGAATCGGAGCGTCCGCGATGCTATCGGGAATAGCTGGAAAACGGGAGTTGCGTGAGGCTATGGTGAGAATGAGTTGCCTCCGGTGGCGCATGTGTCATTGTTTTCTTTTTATTTGGTTGAAGCCTCGGACTGCTTTTTTAGAACAGCAGTGAACTATAACCACTGTTTTGAGAATTTGCGTTCCGCGCCTTTTTATCGGAGACTGGCTCCCTGCCGCCTTTTTGTGACAATCACGTCAATTCTTAACGGAAGCATTGCGTGACAGTGTCAAGGCGTAAGTAAAACCTAAAAACCAGTGTTTGTCAAGCACTTCCGTTCTTCGCTCAACCATCATATTGTTGACTGAAGTGAACACCGTACGGTGCTGTCAACCCGAAAAAATGCGTTCTGTTTCGTCTCAAGCTTTTACGGAACGCTGAGCTCGTGAGAAAACAGCCTGCGCCACCACACACAAACAGACAATTAGGGAGCAGCCTCAGCAGCGGCTGAAGATCTCCATGCAGAAGTAATTCTTAGGCAGCATTTGTATTGGGAAACCTTGAGTACGGATAACAGATGTAATGCGATAACTCAGGGACTTCCGCACAACGTGAGCCGGATCTCGCAAAGCATCGATGAAATTTCGGTGATCCGCGTTCACAGAATACCTTTCTGAAGCTCACCTCTTTTGACTTTCCACCTTTCCGACCGTACATTTGTGCTGCGCGACGCCGTGTTCAGCCACCACCGGCAGAATGGACTCGCCCAAGCGTAACGGTAACAGCGTCGGCAAAAGAGAGCAAAAGACGCATGCGGAGGCGAGTGCCATACCAGAGGACCGCTACACACAAGGTCTCAGTCACCTGCTGTGACTTGTAGAGGAGGCCAGTGCGTGCATTTGAGTCACGGTTTCCATGAAATCGTGCCAGGAGCTAACGGATGGCAAACAACGATATGATTGTGGCTGTGCGATTTGTCGCCGTGTTTCCTGCGCGATAAAAGCGTCGGAGGTTTTTGCTGGCGGCACGGCCGCTGGTCAGGGTCTGCACGATCCACCTAGTAATGTGTCCTTGTCTGGAAACTTTGCATCATGAAGCTCGCGAGTGCATACAGATTGGAAGTATTGGAGGCTCGGAGGTGATTTTTTCTTTTCTTATGTAGACTTGTTTTGCACGTCATGTAACTGAGGTCAAGCTCACCAACGGCTAGCTGCCTATGTTTAATATACCTAACGACCATAAATCGCAATTGCTAATTTTGACAGCGACGTCATTGGAAATGACAAGCTAAACACAGGCAATTCGGCAACTGTTTAATGCCTGGATGACATCACATAATCAATCTGCGATCAAACTGCAGTATAAAACTGACCTCAGCGCGGTGTTTGTGATTGATGGCTCAACTTCGACCTCACCCCTCCTGCCATGCTCGCGTGTGCCGAACCATTACACAACACATGCCAGGAGCGATGAGTAACGCTTAAGACTCGGCCCGTCGCTCGGCTGGGTGGCCTTCCTGAGCGCAGATGCACTGCGATCCTGGAGCTGTTATCGGCAGCCAGCACCCTGTCTGGGACGGCAGCCATTCCTTCACATCGGCGAGTTTTGTGTGCCATTATCGCTCGTTCATCTGGCAGCACTTGAAGGTTCCCAGTCACTCGTTTTAACCACCGCATCAGTGCGTCGGTGGAAAAATAAAGTGATTCTTTGTCATCAGTGTTCCGCGATAGTTGTCAATTTTTGCCGTGCGGTCCTATCTGGAGTAGAAATCTCAGTCCTCAGCATTGTTACATTCAGTTGCTTGACCTTCTAACGGGGGTCGTTCAGTGGAATTGCTAAGCTATTTTTAGATGCAGGGTGACATCTGTGAATGGCAGGGCTATGCCGATGGCACAGTGTATGTCTGTAGATATACAGGCAAACCGAGTTATAATCGTGATGAGATTAGACTGAGACACAGGTTTCACATAATTCAAACACATTGTTCACCTTCATTCCTTAAGTTCAGGGTTTGTATGACAAAGGAAGACTACAGGTGCAGGTCAGACTCAAACCGAGATGCCAGGCGCTGGGGAAGAACTGCCGGCCACAGAACTCACTCCGTCCGGCAAGGTGTCCACGTACAGGATTAGGCAAGCAACCTATCCCCGATCATCTGTAAAGACGAGCACATCAGCCGCATTCCTGTCCAACCGCCGCAGCAGACCACTTACGGCACACGTAGAGTGAGGGGTTGCAGCGATCTTCGAGCTGCATTATCTCGCAGAGCTCAGGCGGCGGGCCGCAGCTTTTCCAGAAGCACTCGATGCGGCCGCGGTGGCAGTGGCAGACGTGGCAGGGGTCCTGCTGTCGCACCAGACTGCCCTCGGCTATCTCCCGGCCGTTCTCCACACATCCACCCGCCAGCTTGTCTGCGAACACCGCAGGCGAATGTCAGCCAAAGGCACGTGACACGTGCTGACGACATCACGTTTGACGACAGTGAAACCCTGCAGACGGCCACGAGGTGGAACGTCCCTGCATTATTTTCGCGAGGTTTTTTGCGGTCGTCGTCTTTGGGTATTGAAGTAACTGTTCTGCTGCACTTAAACATTGACGTTGCAAGGGATAAAGAACCGGAACAGGATTTTATCGAAGCTTTAAACGCTTACGACACGGACTCCTAGCTGACATGAAAATATGTTAACGAACGGCTATGTCTCCTGGGTGGCAACAATTAGCAGTTTCAAAGCAACAAAGAAGGCAGCAGCACTCAACACATGCAGCTACGTCGCAGTGCGACATACCGGCATCCTTTATAAGATAGACCCGCTTGCAGAGAGCTGGGTCCGTGCCCAATTTTCGCATGCTGAGACGGCCGTTGGCTCTCTTCAGTCTACCGTCCCTTGAGATGTCATTTGTCAACATTTTCGCGTTCAGTTCATTGACCATTGTAGGCTCTGCCAGCTTACGTTGTTACTATGGCATCTAGGAAAACCGATGGCACTTTTCTGACAGACGTGGGGAGACCCAGGGGACGCCGCTAGCATTCGGCACTAGTGCTTTCAACGAGGAGACTTCAGCGACGCACAAAAGCATATCCTGATAACTGCGACGCATCGTAATGCACTAGCCTCCGCCATGGCGCTGCACACGTAGCTGAACAACCAGAAAGGACAATGTTCCGAGAAGTTTATGAGACAAAGGTGCCGGGGCACGTGTGCTGTAATGGACAGTGTGAAGAATGCGCTGATTTCAGTTGCACAGCATGACTGTTCCCACGCTTGGGCACGCTTGCTTCCATTCAGAAATAGCGTTACATATTTCGTTACGGTAAAGAGACAACATTATAGGGAAGACAATGCACGCAAAGTAGCGCAAGTGAATGAAGTGAATGATAGAAAACGGGACATATGGACAAATAATCAAACTCTGGCACAGATAACAATCTCTTTGAGTGAAAACCACCGCCAAGAAGATTAAATTTTGTTCATTTCAGATTAGTCCATACACCAGTCTGTCTTGCCCACCCACCCGAATATGTGGGAGGCTCTAGCTGACTTTACTTAGCTTCAGTGATCTTAATAAGCCTGGTAGAAGTATGGCGCAACATGAATTGCATACACGTTATGGAACATTGCACACCATCCCCGTAATCATTTATTAGTGTAGTAGTAATTTGCGCTGGAAATGTTGATTGAGAAGCATGTGGATGGAACGCTTATGGAGGTAATGAATCCTAATCATGTAGCTTGCACGCTACATGATCACGGCAAACTTGTTCATTACATGCAGCGGAGTACGCCAAACCCGTCGATGAGTCTGGATGACATTCAGGACCCCATAGCATCTTATGGCTCTCACATAGCGCAAACCGAAGTGGCTTTAACGTGCTAACTTTACGGAGGAAGCGTTTCTAGCAACTGCGTAATGCATCTCTGTGGCATTGCTTTAACATCTACGTTGACGTCATGTCAAGTCACATCCAGACGTGAATGACGAGAATTTCCAGAATATATGCACTGCCATCTGCATCAGTCATGCCATTCAGCGTGCTTGCAGCATGCCCTAAATCGGCAAATGGTCATTCCCTATCCTTATTTCTCTCATTTCACGCTGCAGAGCCCACCAGACCGATTGACCTGACCTGACCTGACTCACACCGCTCGACTCACCTTGTGCGGAGAGTGCCACCGCGGACAGCAGGAGCGCCAGCTGCACGAGCCGAGCCATGGTGGCACACCTGTGGTGGACGGGAGGCGTGCAGGGCGACCCGGCGGCTCCGGTCGACTGGCGGCGGCCGGCGGCGGAGCGGCACTGACCGTCCGGCCGGCGGCGGGTCGGCGCCGAGGCCAGCCGCGGATCCTCCGCAAGGCGCGGGCCACAGCGGACCCTTCGCACGGCGCGGTCCACAGCGGTCACGGCACTGCACGTCGGGTACGAGTCGGGAGTCCCAGACTGGGATCCCCAGCGACACGGACTCCGCGATGACGCGCCGCCGTGATGCTTCACTTCGCCCGCGCTGAGTTGCTGTCGAGCCTCACGACCGCCCGACACGGCACTCGCCTGGCGTTCCTCAACGTTCACGCACTCAACGCCGCCCAGACCGCACCTGACTCCAGGCCCGCCGTCGCAGGGCCGACTGACCGGTCTTCTTTGCTATCGGTCGCCGCTATCGCTCGGTACGTCAGCGTCTCGTCACCTTCCCGGCTGGGGGGCGGTGGCTGCTGGCGTTCGGTCCCTGCGCGTCGAGCCCGCCCCGTCGTCTGACTGGCCCACCCTCGCGCACCACACCCGCTGCCTGGGATCGGCTGCACGTGACCAGGGGCATGGCTGCGGCGGTCGCTGCGAGGGCGCCCGCGACCCGTCGGTCCTCCGAACGTGAAAGTCGCGCGGCGTGGCGGCGGCGGTTTCACTAATCCCGCTGGTGACCCCGCCGTGTGGCCTGTGATCATTTGGCGGTGAGGGTCAGGCGATTATCTCGCCGGCACCGCTGTCGGGCGCCCCAACAGCGGGAGAAGTCACGGCTGTGCGTCGCACACGCACGGGCACGGAACCGGTCGCGCACATCGGTGCAGTTCCGACTCACGCAAACTTCGGAGGTCCGGGGACCGGGGGTAGTATGCACGCGATCCCGTGGGTCAGTGCTGATGGGGTACCCGGTCACGGTCAAGCAGATTCAAGACAGACAGTCGCCGAGCTAAGCGCATCTTCATCCAGAGGATGCAGTTCTCAGTCACGATCTCATTTCGACAGGCGTGGGAGGGAGCGGAGACTTTGGCCTTGCAATGCGACACGTTTGTGTGCGCTCTGTCTTCCAGCCAAACGTGAATGCACTGGGTACACATGAATCGGTCAATGTAAATTTATTCTCGGCCCGCTCATGGCCACGAGTTCCAGCGCGTGCTAAGCCAATCGAAGTAATGTCGCTGGTCGGAAGAATCAATTGGAATGGACGCTGTTTCCCAAATCATATTGCTGAGACCCAGCAGGCAATGAATGAGGACCAATGACATACACACACATACTCTCATATTTTGATCCAGGATGAGCACACCGCTGCACTGTTCCAGTTACAGCAGGGAAAACATTAGCCGCTTTATCCCTGCAACTTACCTCTGCGCTTGGGACAGCCCTATGCCTTCGTTCTTGGGAGCACTCCTAACTTTGACCAATGCCTTACCGATAATGCACCCCAATTCTTGCCGCCCCCGTCACGTCTATTGGAATAACGGCCTCATCTCAGCAGCAAATAGGAGACGGAGTGGATTCAAGATGCATCGTTTCGTACGCTGAAAGATCACCAAAGCTTTATTTTTACTGAGAACAATGAATAATCTTACCAGCGTGTTCTCGCAACGTCCTCAGAAATATGCAAAACCAAAAAGACAACAGCAGTACTAGCATGGCTCAGTACTACGCCGATATAGGTGGCGACGTACTCATATTTGAATTCAGATGCAGCCTCCGATTCCAAACACCCTTTTATACAGATCAATCACAACGATTTTCAAAGAATCGGCAGGTCGGCTTACGTTATTTCGCACCACTAGACCTCTCCAGATTGTTAGGTAATTTCACCAATTTGTGCGGGGATTGTTAGGTTGGCACGACATCCTTCCAAGGGACACTACATGCAGGCGGGAACTCATTACATAGCAGTAGGGACGCATTGAGATGCGTAAGATTAACCCATTATTTAGAGCAACTTAGGAGCTCCTGCGTAACCAGAAAACCTTGGAGCAGCAAAACGAGCCATTTTCAGATAAAAGAACAGCGAGCATCCAGAGATTCGTAAGGCTTCAGTGGGCCCAGGGCATCTGAAGGCCTTGAGCGGCCACTAGGGCTTCTGAGCACCCAGAGGGGTCATACCAGTGATTAGAGGGCTCTTCAGTGGCTAGTGTAGCCCTTCAGCAGGCAACAGGTCCCTTAGTAGCTAAAATGGTCCCTGAGCGGCCAGGACCATGTGCAGAAGTGGACTAAGGCGCTAGGCCCCTGAGCAGCTATACAAAAACTAAGTGTCCGGATAGCTGTGGGGAGACAGCTAGAGTGCTCTGAGTGACTAAGCCGGACGTCGAGCGAACAGTAGACCCTCATCAGCCAGAGGGGCCTTAAAAGTGGCCGGACGGCCATTGAGCGGTTAAGAGCCCCCTGATCGGCCAGAGAGGCCCTGAGCAGACAGACCTTGGGCGTTTCCTACGAGCCCTCGGAGTTCAGAGTGTCTGAGCGGTCAGCGGGGTCTACGAGCAGCCAGAGGGGCTCTTGGAGAAAGGAGGAGTCTTTCAGCGTTCAAAAGGGTCTGAGCAGCCAACAAGACCCCGAGTGCCGCAAGGGTCGAGGACGCAGCGAAATGGCTCTGGCGATTGGACGGGTCGCTAAGCCACCGAAAAGCTCTCAGCCGCCGAACGGGCACTTCAGTGGTCAGGTGGGCTCATGAGGGATTAGAGGTGCGCCGTGGGCCCCAGATGACCCCTGGGTGGCAAGTAACGCCCCTAACAGAGGGGAACGCACTGTATGGCTTCGAAAGTGCTCTAAAGACGCGTTGCGACCATTCAGCACGCGCCCCTGGCAGGTGGTGAATTAACGCGTTTGTTTTTGCCGCGACGGACTCGGCGGCGGAGGCACGATTTTAGCCTCATGGTTTGCCAGCGGCAAGCGTCAATGACTGTGCTCAGAGAGAGGGACATGCGACCATAGAAACCCCGGGGGAACGAGTCCCCTTTAACAAAATTTACGGCATGTAGTGATCTGCGCGTGACTAAACGTTGAGCGTTGAAAGCACCAGGTGGACCGGTAAAAATAAAATTCGAGGATATCGGGCGCTATTTTACGACAAGGAGTAATTATTTTTCACACCTGCAGCGCACTGAATGCGGCTTTCAGTGAACACCTTTGAGTTACTCCTCCCCACGTTCTGGACGCGTAGAACCAAGCCGTATATTTGAGGCCATCGCAAAAATCGAGATGCCTTGACAGCGTTGGCTTATGCCAACGCTGCATTGATTTGCAAGAGGGTTTTAGGCAATTGTATAGGTGGATGTGCGTGTCAAGAAAGATCAGAACACCAGCGAATTGTCCATGTTTGATAATGATATGCAAGTAGACTGGTGCGGTGACACTTTAAACAGACCGTGATGTGACACTATGCTCTAAAGCAGATTATTCGATAGAACAATCCCCTTATTATGTCCCCACCCCCGTAAAACTGCGCCATTAAGGGCTGGGTGAGTGCCGTAAGAGCGGTCAGCCGCATCCCATCTCCAAATTCTAACGTTGAAATTATGGAGTTGCATGAAAAAAGAACCGAGGGACAGGTCGCATTTGCCTCCAACACTTCGTAGAGTATTTGTGGTCACAGAAACCAATTTGACTCGAGGCCGACAAACCCTATGGTCCTAGGACAGATCCCACGCGCAATCAGATGTCACTTGCGTGTTGTCATGTCGTCGTACGGGCCAATGCACTATGTGTTGCTCCACCAGGTTAATTCACCGTATTTTACGCGGTCTATCTTATCTTGCTTGTGGTCGCAGCTGTTTCATGAAATTGAATGGAGCGGGATGAAACCCAGCAGAACTGTCACAAGCATGGATAACACCTGTTGGCCAAATCGCAATCCAATTTTACGCCAACCAACACAACATATCGGGATTTTCAGTCATGCTGCTTAATAGACTATAAGTATTACCACATCGCATTGCGCGAATCCATCGCAAGCATCCGCGGAAAGCACTCAGGCCCGCTTGACATTGGCAAAGCATGCTACACCGTCAATGCACATTGCTCGCTTGCAGTTGCAACATTTCGATTTACTGTATGCAAAAACACACATGTCAGGCTGAGTGAGTTCTTTAAGGCATGTATATGTCCGTCTACTTGAAAACAAACATAAAAGCATGGCTAAATGTAGAGCAGGCTTTTTGTATTGCACAAGGCCTTCTTAAGCAGGACCGGTGAAACTCAACAATTTAGTTAACTGTTTTCTTTTTTCTTGTAACGGTCGCGTCACTTTTGCTGCCTTTTGATGAACTGTGAGTTGACACTAAGGCTGGTGACACAGCATTGACAGATACCCCTGGCGGTACATGGGCGGTACATGCCGAGTCTGGAATGTTCCAGGGCCTTGGGGTCCGGGGAGCATTGGTTACGTCTTATCGAGTGTGTGATGTGCGGGTTAGGGTGGGAAGTGAAGATCAGTAATTAATTGGGGTCTAGAAACCCACATGTAATGGAATTGTCAATATTTTGGGTGAAAATGCCCTGGATTAGGAACATTCCAATCGTCAGGAACTCTTTCTGAGGTATTGGATATCCATGAGCACAATGCCCCATTTGTCTCCATGGCGATTCTCATTCTGTTTTTTTCTTTGAGCAGTTGAACCACTTCTGAAATACTTGTTGAATGTTGTGGTTAATGGGCATCCAGGAATGCCAGCTTGCTGAATAAGCTTCCATGGGCTGAATGAGTGAAGAGGACAAGCATAACTCCAGATATGTGAAAAAAGCATCCCTGAACTAAGCCCATTGTATTGTTCCAGCCAGGAAGGAAAGCCTCCAATTCCACCCTCACCCAACCTGTTTCCTATCCAGTTGTGGGGAGCCCCTTCAACTAAATTGGGATTGGCAACCTGGTGGGAATCTGGTCTTAGGGAGAGAAGCCTAGACTGCTTCACAGGAAGATTGCTCAGTTGTATCAAAATTATTTTTAATTAGATCTGAGTTAAGCTGCAAAAATATGTAAGATTTTCACTCATGTTTAGCCTACTCTTCGACATAAGTGCCAGCAGTATTAACAGTGAGAGTGGGAATGTTATAGGCCTAACATGTAAACAGGCTGGCTGGTAATGAAATGCTTTCAAGAAAGGTTGTTTGTTTTTGCCCACTCATCAAAGTGTTGGAGGAGACTGTTGGATTTGTTGATAGCTATACCCCCTTGCTGATTAGCCTAGGTTTCAGCATTCAAAATTAGTAGAACTTCTTGGATATATGTATCATCCTTTTTTTGTAACTTAAGAGCTGTGAGGCTGGTGTGCATCTTACTTTTAAGAATGTGTGGTTGTGCATTGTACATTATTTGATTTCACACCCAGCTCATGGTTTATCATCACAAAATCACCAGGAAGT